ATAAAAAATGTTGAGAAGCCCAAATTGCCCAAACTAGTTTGGGCTTTGAGAAAACAGTTTGGACCAGAAACCTTAATGGTTATGTGGGAACATACTACAGGCCACAAACCATTTCACAATATTCCACATGATTGTCACCTTGTAATGTATATTCAGGAGGGGCAAAGACCTTCAATTACTGAGGACACACCCAAATTCTATGCTAATTTAATGCAAAGATGTTGGGATCCTAATCCAGAAAATCGACCTGATGCTGAAGAAATTAATAGTATTTTGAGTAAATATTATTCTCATCCTCTAATGTTAGATGAAATAAATATTATTGATTTTGCAGAAGTTAAATGCCAAGAAATTATCAATTCAGAAAAATATTTGTATTTGTCAGATGAAAAGCATATTTACAAGTCATTCACTGAATGAAGTGATTGAACAAGTTAGTAATAACAATGGTAATTATCATCAATTATTAATTTTAAAATTCAATAAATTATCATATTTATAGATTCTAATCAAATGAACTTAGATATTTAGATTTATTTAATTATACACCGGTTTTTTTATTATTATTATAAGAAAGTATTTTTAAAATTGCCAATTTTTTTTATTATTTAGATATTTACATATTTTATTGCATGGTATATTTTGTCTATCTACTTTAAGCTCTACATTGTTCAGTCCAATTATAGAGATTGAAACTAACCACCTAAAAATTTTCAGTTAACCAGTAAATAAACAGTTAACTGGTTAATGATCATGACTTAATGACTTATTTAGTTAGATCATATGAAATTAAATTGGTTTCATTCAAACCATTGTGGTAACTAAGGCTCCAAATGAATCAATGAAATTCAAACTGAATTGAATTGAATTGAATCATCTAATTTTTGATTTGTCATTTGAATCTAATTCAAATTGAATTCAAATTGTACTTTGATTTGATTTAATTTGATTCGAATTGATTTGATACAAACTGATTTGAATATATAATTTGAACTGATTTGATTCAATTCAATTCGAACTAATTTAAATCTATATCATTCATTAATTATATTTATTATTTAGATTTAATGAATTTATTAATGAATAGTGCAACTGTAAATTGTATTACTTTTTTATTTGTCATTACGTTATCATTATTGTTATCAATTAATAATAATATTAACGAAACTACTTTACTTAGTGGCCAAAATTGCCGAATTTAATTTGGGCGAAACTAATTTTAATGGTTGAAATTGAACGAAGTTTTTTAAAATAAAGTAGATTGATTTAGATACATGTATTGGGCGAAACTACCTTTTTTTCAAAAATAGTTTCGGCCACCATCGCTAAATAATATCTTTTATCAACTAAATTAAAATATACACAATCTTGTTTAGCAGATAGTTTGGATAATTAGAAAAAAATTTCCAAAAATCCGTTATTATTATATTAATACAGTCACAGCAGACCACGCCACAGTGGACTATAATTAAATTCTTGTCGCAACAGGTTTTTAAAATTTTTGCTTCACACAAAACCATATAAAAATCCGTTGTTATAATAATAATTGTGTGTCCTGTTCATCCGCTATGGCAAGGTTTGACTGTATTAGTATCAAGAAATCCGTTATATTGAGAAGAATTTTATTATTGTTATTGTTATTATTATAGTTTTAGTTTATTATTATTAACCTCGATCCATTAGTAGGGTTGTTAAATGGAGCATAATGTTCTGGCATCAACCCGGAGCAACCCATGGAGTATTAACCCAATACATTTAACCCAGGTTGGGTTAGGTTGACCCTTGCTCCACTATAATATGAATCCATTAACAACCCTATCCATTAGTACCCGTTAAATCGAGGTACACTAAATTAAGATTCACTGTGTAATATAAATTTAATATTAATATTAAAGGAATTCGGTTTGATTCGAATCGATTCAATTCGTTCAGAGCCTTATCTCTGACAATAATTTTATTACCAGAAATTCTTTGTATCTGCCTGAGTTGGAAACGTTCAAATTCTTAATATATTTAGCTTCATACCTTCGGGGCTTTACTTTACTAATATTTTTTGGCCATACGCTGGTCTTAGATATCTTATTTCTAAAAAAAAAGAAAAAGAATTATACATCTGTACTTAGCAAAGGTGCCCCCTTGGTAAGATAATATAAGAGAAAATTAATTATGTATGGGATTAGTATGTATTCATTGTTAGAGATAGTAATAAATTTATTGTCATTATGAAAATATAAAATTCGAAGACAACAACAAGGACAAGGACAAGTTCAAGGATAAGTGCAGTTTGTTATTTATTAAATGATGATGATAATGATTATGGTAATGATTATGGTAATGATTATGTTATGATGATTAATACATGAAGTTAAGACGTTATTTATACATGTTAAATGTTAATCATCTAGCTCTCTGATCCCTTAATCTGTTCTAATTAAATATATTTCTTAAAAATAAAACAAGATTTTTCTTTTATCAATAATTCCAAGTTCTTTTAAGTGAACGAATGGTTTTGAATTTAGAATTAAAGAAATATTACAATTTAGAAAAAATTTCCGTGAGTTAATTATTTTATTGGTTTATACCCATGTGATTAGTGTAACAATATTTATCTAAAAAATTTTCCCTTAATCCTAAAGATGAATTTTTCAGAAATTAATATTAGCGTATCAGAAGGATTAATACCTAAAGCAATCCGTAAAGAATCATTGTATTTTAGCGACAGTAATATTAGTGGTGGTGATGATGATGAACAAAAGCCACCATATATTTTTGATATAGTGGCAACTAGTTCATATTGTATAGTATCAGGATCAAATAATGAACTCAGATATTATAATTACAGACAAAGCTCAATCACTCTCGCAGAAAAATGTTCATTTCATTCGGATATTATCACAAAAATAAAATTGCATGATGATCAATTATTCTTTTCTAGTTCGAAAGATGGTACAGTTGCACTATGGGATTTGAGATTATCACATCAAAGACCTGCTCAAATGCTCCAAGGTAATTTATGATTTATTTATGTGTGCATGATTACAAATGTAATAAATTAATAAAAATATATTTTTAATTTAAAGCAACAAAAAAAGAACCATTATTATCTTTTGATTTAAACATTACTGGCAAAGTAGTAGCTGCTGGTACTGAACTATCGAGTGGAGGAGATGTTAAAATATTATTTTGGTATTTATCACAAGTAATTTTCTTTTTTTAATTACTTTTTATTAAAAATTTAAATTTATTTACAGGGATTTGAGAAGTTCTAACAAAGTTAGTGCAGAATTTACTGAATCACATAGTGATGATATAACACAAATACAATTTCATCCAACAAGCCCATCTAAACTATTATCTGGATCAGTTGATGGTCTAATTTGTAATTTTGATTTGAAGAGTTTTGATGAAGATGAAGAGTTAATTAGTGTAATAAATTCTTGCTCATCAATCAATAAAGCTGGATATTTTGGAATTAAAGGAGAAAATATCTATTGTCTAACTCATAATGAAACATTCAGTCTATGGAATTTCTCTGAAGTATGCATACTATTATTAATTTGAATATGTTATGAATAATCTATATTTTCAATTAACTCCTTTTCTTCTAAAATGTTTTGCTATTTAGGGAGAATTAATATCAAATATGGGAGACATTAGAACAGACCCTAATCAAAATGTTGTTGAAATTAATTATGGAATTGATTGTCAATTTGATTTGTCTACTAATAGGCTATATCTTTTATGCGGATCAAACAAGTAATCATATTAATACTATTCAGAAGATTGATTATTCAGTTACTAACAAATTCTTTATTTTATATGAATATTAATAATATTATAGTGGAGATATTAGTATTTTAAACGTAAATTTAAATGAATTACAATTATGTCAGAAATTAAATGGTGGACATGATGAAATTGTTAGAAGTGTTTATTGGGACCTGAGGGTAATAATAATGAATGATAGTATTCATATAAATTATAAATTATTGTAATATAAAAACGAATCTATTAATGAAAATCAATTTATATTTAGACAAACATCTTTATTTCTGGTGGTGAAGATTCAAAATTGTGTTTATGGAGTTCGTCTTAAATGCACTTATTTAATATTATTATTCATATTCAAAAGTAAAATTTATTCTGATACGTAAAAAGTTTATGATTCTTCACAGTGTGTGAATGACGTCATAATCGCGTATTTAAATTATAGCTTATATCTCCAATAATAAATATACCAACAAACAATAAAATAATTATATTAAAAAAAAAAAAAAATGTCTTTTAAATTAAATGATATTGATGATGATGATAATAATAATAACAATAACATTCGTTCTTCTTTCTCAAATTTCAAATTTTCTCCAACTTCCTCAATCGACTCTTTGGAAACAATGCATTCTTCCAAAATTAAAGATGATAAAAACATGAGCGAATCTGATCGTTCTAAAGAAAATGTGCCAAGGTTGAAAAAACATCTTGATGTTATAACAGGTTAATTAACACTTGATTTACTATCAATAATCATCATTATTTATTTACAGACGCTCGTATTTTATTACTGTTGTAATTATTTTGATTATCTTGATTAAAGCTTTTGTTAAAGATGTTCACGATAAATTAAATAAGAATCCAATTGATAATAAAAAAGATATTGAAAATTCATTACAAGAAATAATTAGTAATGTCGATAAATTTCAAAATTTACAACAATTAACGAAAATTTATGATTTTGCGGATGAAATTGATGAACACGGTCAGAAGAATAATTGCTACAACTAATAAAATATTATTAAATTGTTTAGAGAACGTGATTTTTTATTTTAAATAATCTATAATTTCTAGGCGTCAATTTCTGGAATGCATCAATTACTCTGAAAACAGCAAATGCTTCGAGCGAAAAAAAAATTGATAATGAAATAATTGCTATGGGTAATAATTTGAAAGCAATCACACTTGTATGTGTTCGAGATTAATATCGCTTATTTTTTTTTTTTTTTGTAGTTAGGCAAGTTGGATTTGTTATGATCCAAGCAGGCGCGATCTCGATTAGCGAATTGAAAAGTATGTATAATTTATTTGATTACATTTACTTGCAAATGTATTAAGATTCGATTTTTTTAATGGTTCATTTTAGATAAAATAAAATTATTGACACTTGCATCAAAAGTTGGTAAAGCATGGTTAGGTGAGAATCATTATTTTCAAGAAGTTAAAAATATTTTTTTATAAGATAATTATATATTTCATATCTAAATATATATAATTAATATAGATTGTGGAAGAAGTGACAAAGCTGATGAAGTATTAAGATCTGCGAATTTGGTAAATTTGCTTATTATTTTTCTTTTTACAAAGGAAAGAAAGAAAAGGTTGACCGATTAATTTATGCAGATTGAAGATTCGATTTTATCTTTACAAGAAAAAACCGCAAAGGATCAAAATTCAAAAGCTGCAGCTTTGGTTATTTATTACGCTTATCGTGTTGAGGCGGTGATATATGTTTTCCTTAATCTAATCAGTATAGTATTTAAGTAGTAATTAAAAATCATGACTTAAACGAAATTTGTTTTTTTACATTAGGCTTGGAAATTGTCGAATACTCATATTGCAAATTTAATGTTACAAAATGCGATAGATATGAAATATTTGAATAACGTTACAGAAAATGAGGTAATTTTATAAAAAAAATTTCAAATATTTGAATAAATATCATCTTTCTTACTACTTTTTTTTTAGATTATTGTTTTATGTCAAGTGTGTTTTACGATTGGACATCAAGCATCACGCGAAGGAAAGATTAACGACGCGATAAAATGGTTGAGACAATGTCACGAATTGATTTCTGATAGAATTTCCATATCAAACTCGCATAAATCAAAATTATTAGCAAGTATCATTAGTTCATTAAGTCATTAATCAATTATGATTTAGAAAAGTTGCCATTTAACAAGATAATAATAATGATAATTTAATTATAGAGCAATACATTAAATATTTTAGGTATGTTTTTATCAACATTACATTGATTTTGTAAAATTCGATGAATCCATTTAATTGTTTTTTTCAATTCATGTATAGCTACTTGTTATTTAAAAAATAGCGAATATGATGAATCTAATTTGGAATTGGCAGAAAACTCTTTAAATCTTTGTTTGGAGGTATGATAATGTTGATAACAATCAATAATTAATAATATAGGTAATATTATTTATTATTTATCAACAGGAATTTCCAGGAAATGTTATGGCAACATCAATAAAACTTAAGTTGATAAAAAAAAAAAATCTTTGTTCTAATATATTCGAAGAAGGTTTGTCACCTCACAATTAATTGCATCATGATAATGATAATGATTTTTGATTAAATTTTTTCCATCAATTAGCTTATTTTCAATTAATGAAAGCTGCAAAGATTACAATTGACGATTTGAAATTGTGAGTGGGTATCCGTCTTCCTATAAGCAACCAAATATTAAATAATTAAATGAATTATATAAATTTATTTTATAGATTGTTGAATGATGCTTATTTTGTTAGCGAATTCGAGTAAGAAAAAAGAATGTTTTATTTAATAAATTATTTTAAAATTTGTATTAATTTTTCACTAATTAAAAAAAAAGTACAATGATGGCACTTAGAGGTATGGATATACTAATTGAAGAACGACTTTCCGATTTGCGAAATATTCGGTACATCGAAAAAGCTATTATTACAAAGTTTCATATTATTGGAAACATCTATAATTTCGAGAAATTGGAGGTGGAAGATGACATTATTCGAAGTGCTGAAATCACACTTGGATGTACGTTTTCTTTCACTTGAATTTTTTAAGTTATGATTTTTTAAGTTGTGACTAAATTGCTGCCTTTATTCATTTTGAAGTTGAACAGCGACATGGAATAGTACTCGGTCATAAAGTCAAAACTGCGTGTCAATTGGTATTAAATTTATTAGTTTTTTATATATAGCATTTTTTTCTATATATATATATATTTAATTAATAAATATTAGATTCTTTGGCAAAATGGTGACCGAAATTACGCAGTGAGTGAGCTTTCTTTTTCTATACCTCTCTGGTTTTTTGAATTTCAAAAATTCCATCGACTATTTTGAGAATTTCTAATTCTTCAAAAAAAAAAAAAAATAGAATCAAAAATATGAGCCTGCAAAAAAATGGTTTACAATCGCGTATAAATGGTTGGCAGATAATGAATTAAATAATCGAAATGCTGCAATATTACAAAGGTAATAACAATGACAATAATGATAAGTAAAAATTTACATTTATCTATTTTTTTTTGATTATTATTATCACAGAAAACTTGCGATCTGTTATCTTGAAGAACAAGCATTTGCCGACGCTACAGAAGCAGTTCATAAAGCACAAACACACGAAAAAAATTCCGCGGCAAATTTTTATATATTGTATCATATCTCTATGGAAAAAAGCCAATTTGATCAAGGTGACAAACAATTCAATAGTCTTGATTTTGTCATTATCTTAACGTCGTACGCTAAAGATTTGCTTTGCCGATAATGATGAATTAGCAATTCAATATTTACATGACATGTGTAAAGGTGATGGATTTCAAGGAAATATGTTGGCAATGGTGGCGAATAATTCATATCAAAAAAGTAATAAAGATGTTTTGGCTGAAGCATTGAAAGAAATCCTGATCAAGTATCAGAATGGTGAAGATGTTGCTAATACCGATATATTCGTTCTTCTAAGGTATAATCAATCATATTTTGCGATGATATATATATGTGTGCTTGTTTGTTGTAAAAAATTTTATGATTAGTAATCGATTATTATTGTTTGTTAGGTGTTTGATAAGAATGACATTGAATTCTTTGTCCAATACTGATGCCGAAAGGTTTTGTTGAACGTTAATTTGTTTATTTGCATTTATTATTGGCATTTGCGAATTTTCTAATCGATTGATAATATTGATTTTTTAGTTCACTTAAAGAGTCCATTTGTGGATATTTTGAAATAGGTAATAAAAATTTTAGTTGCTTTCGAACATTTTATCAACTTTAATAAAAGCACAATAATAAAACTGTTTACATTAGCGCTAAATATATTAAGACCCAAAGAAGATTCCGATAGTATAAATAGCGGTAATATTAAAGAAAGAAATCAAACGGAAAAAAATAAATTGTTAAAAGATCTTGAATGGCTTTATAAAACCGGTAAACAAAGAGAATATACAAAGTAAACTTTTTCAATATATTACTTTACAAATTTCTTGATTATTTTAAAAAAGCTTGGAATATAGGATTAGAATTTTGTCAAAAATCAGAAATTGGTAGTGATTTATATGCGATTAGATTATTTAATGTTTCGCACAGTGTTAGTATAATAATAATGAATACTCTATTATTATTTGATGGCAAGATAAAATGACAATTACACCCCTCTACTCTTTCTCCCTCACCCTCTCCATTTTTTCTCTTTCCCTTAATAAATAGTTTCTTTGTGAATATCCAGAAGAAACATCAGAGATTGCAAATGGAAAAAGACTATGTATCTTTACATCTTTATGTGGACAGTTATTTCTTTCAAGGAATGAAAAATACATATCAAAAAAGGTACAATAGCTATATTATTAACGTATCGGTTCTACGAATTATGACCAATCAATAATATTATCAATTACTAATAAAAACAGAAAGAATTATTGGAGCAAACAATTTTAAATATTGATAAATACAAAAAACTTAAAAAAGTCCTGGGTAAAAGAAAAAGAACAACTGATGACGATGAAGATGAAGATGACAACAAGGATAACAATAACGATCAAAATAGCAGGAATAACAAAGAACCATTAGCACAAAATGATATGGTAATCATTACATTATTTGAATTTGAAGCTAAAGTTAAATTGGGCCAATGGGATGAATTAATGAAAATATTAGATGTATGTGCGTGTGTTTATTTCAATTATTGATTAAATATTAAAGCAAATGAAAAAAACGTGTTTTTAATTTTTAATAACATATTATTGAACAGTCAGTAGAGGCTTATGATTTTGAAGTGCCGTCAAGAATATTTGAAAGAATGGCAGAGCTATTGATAATTGAGAGCGAATGTCCCAGTTCAGGTAAGTAAAAATATTTCATTGGAAACTGGACTAATAAATAATAATAACAATATTATTTATTATTATTATTATTATTATTATCAATGGGATTGGAAAAGTAATATTTACGACCTTACAGGTTGGTTTGTTATTTTTATGGTTTAATATTCCAACTTATAATCAATATGCCCCACTATAAATAAGTAATGCTTTTTATAGGTTTTGTTGGATTCCTTTTTGAAACATGAACAGATTGATATTGTACAATTCTCGAGATGGTTTAGAGTATTAATTATTACGGCATTGGCTAAAAAGAAGCAAGAATCACTGCAATATTTTCAACAAGCTTTAGATATAATAAATCAAGAAAATTCAAAGGTACATCTGTCATGTGAATGATTTTTTTTTTTTTGCGAAACAACATTTTGGTTTTCTATTCTTATCATTTAGTATCCCGAAGAAGAGATTCAATGGTTAATGGTTAGCGCATGGAATTGTGGAATTGATTATTATTCGTATGATGTTTGTTAAAATTCTTGACGATTATATTTTTTAATTTGTTTATTTGTAATCTAAAAATAATCACGAAATTTTTTCTTTTGTAAAAAAAAATAGTGCTAATGATTTTTCAAATGCAAAAAATTGGTGCGAAATGGCAATTGCATTTTGTAAATTCCTTGGGAATGGATTATTATACGAGGAAGAGGTTATTAGGATTAATTTTCAATTATTTAAATAGAAATAATACAATATAAAAAAGGCTTATTAATTTTTCTATTAAATTTTTTTTCAAAGATGCGAAAATCTTACGGTGAAATAATTAAAAATTGTGATTCGTAATAAAAAAAAGCCTTGCATATATATATATTATTACAATATAACAAATTAGTTATAACAAATAAATTTAAAAATAATAAAACTTTATATTTTATCATTTATTTGAATTGTTTATATTGTTTGGGTAGAACCACTTGAGATGCTTTTTAATTTTCAAATCCTAAAAAAAAAATATACCAAAAAAGTATATACATATGTCTCCATTCCCCATGTTAGTGATGTAAACCAGCTGAGCCAGCTAAAAAAAATTTCTTTTAACATTCATTTTTACGTCCGGAACTTTAGTGCAGAGTTCAATGGCATAGACACTTAGTTGGGTGGGTCCATCTGCATTACATAGAATGACAAAAAATAATACAATACTCGCAGTAGAATAAAAGTAACAGTTTGAGTTCCGGATTATTAGTAAGCTTAATTCGAACATTATTTAAAAAGAGTTAATTCATAATGATCAAAGAAAGAAAAATAATTTTACGTTTAAATAATGCAAGTTCTCGCAATTCTCCAACTTGCCAAATATAAAGAACTCATTTTCTCCCTCCAAACACAACATTTGTACTGCAACCTTTAGACCATGGCATTATTTTATAGCTTGAAGGTAGTAGATACATAAACTTAAAGTTTATGTATCTACTTAGCCAGGCTTAGAGATGTGACATGCGCATGAAAAAAAATGCAATGCGCATTGCATGATGCGCATAATGCGCATGATTTTTTTTCAA